CAATCAATAATGCCCCATCTGTTACTTTCCTTTGCAGCACGTTTTTCCCCTCCCATGTCTCATACAATGCAGTCTTTTTCTCGGCTTTGTGGCCGAAGAAACTTTTCGCGTGTCCCATTCACAAACCTTCGGCTTCACCATCTTTTCAATCTGTATAATTCTTTATTTTTTCTCTTGTTTGTTTGTTAATTGTAACACACTAACAGGATCAGTGTTACTGGGCAGAATCCATCCTGTTGCATGCTGTTATGTTGTGCGCATTTAGCTGTGACCGACAGTCGTCGGTGATCACAATCGAAATTCATCTATGCGATATATTTTGCCCCTTCTGACATGTGCATCATCCACTTGTCCCACCTCTAGAGGGCACCAAGTGAAACCTCGGATCTACTAATTCCGGTACTGCTGTCATAACTTTGTGCACGCGAGTTGCTATTAGTTTGGGAAACAGAGACCAATCGAATACTCAAACGGCAGTTCCCACGAATAAATGATGGATAGATGGGCTGACAGTAACAGGACAAGCGTCCCTTGCATAGATCCCTGATTCACATCTGGAGAGATAAAATTGCACCGAGGTGGTTAGAATTTATGAGATGGGATAAGAGAATGCAGAGCGAGGGGATCGAACATTGATGTTTGAGGAGGAATATTACGAAATTGATTAAGATAATTACAACTGAAATTGCTTCATGCACACAGGTAATTAAAGAAGGGTATCACTCAGCTCTGTCGAATGGTAACAATGAATCAAGTTCTCTTCGAGGTAATTGAATTGCCTGAACAGATTTTCCTGTGTGTGTCGTAATGTTAGCATCAAGCAAAACCGTGCAGTTTTTCTTTCTGGCACGTGTCCTTTCAAATAAAATAGCGAGCAAGCACTCCGTTCGAATTCTCGCGCGTATGTTCCGTGACCCGGTTGTTGAAACCTAATTCGATTCTGACAGCACAATTCCGCTTGCAGGTAGAAAATGAACTATGTATGCTAATTTAATTAGTTCGAGGGAAGGCCTTAGCCCATTCTTGCTCTCACGAGCACGCGTGTAGTCTTTCCATTTAGGATCAGTTTGTCTGCATAAATTGTCAGCTTGAGTGACGCAACTCAGTTTTGTCTGATAATTGCTCTCTGACTGGCATTATGTTGGAGACTGTTCTGTCTAATCTACATCGATTTCATAACTAATATTTGCCATACCTATAGAGAGCACAGATGATGTCCGGACCGTGTTTTTCATTTTCGTACTGCGATCATCTTCCCCCCCAGAGATTGTAACATCAATTCGTTATCCAAACAGGTCGTCCAGATGCGAACAAAACTTTTCTGCATAACATGTCTTACTTGGCAATACTAGCCCATTCTGAAAGCAGATATTATCTTGCCAATCTGTAAAATGGTCACCTGGACACACATTGGTCAATCGATCTTGTGTTTGCAGTCAACCAACACTGGTTTACGATTTCAGTGCAATCCACCTAACTGACTTTTGCTGCCCAACTTTTATCTTCTCCCTGTTCTCGAGGGTGGTGATTTCGTTGTGTATCGTGAATGCTCGACTCATCGCACCGACTTGAGTTTGCAATCGCGCTTCATTCCTTCCACATTAATGTTGTATTCCGCAGTTGGAATCCATATCTTGGTTGTTGGCAGGTTGGAGAAAGTGCGTGCGTTTCACCATCACACAGAAACAGGCAAACCGCTTAGTAAAAGCCATAAATTTTTTATCCTGCTTTTTATACGCATCGATCTAACTACGATCCACCAATTTTGCTCCATCAGTATTCTGTCGAAAGGAAAACAGAGCTCAAAATCGATTTATCCGTCGGTCTGTTACCGAACTTCAAATCAAAATAAGTTTCCGTAATGTTCAACATGAAAGCTTTTAGTCAATCGCTTAAACATTTTAAATATTTAACGTACACTTCAATCCTTTACTTTTATTTTTATCAAGATTGCATTAAATGTTTATTTTCGTTTACCGCTTTCTTTTCCATGTCTATCGAATTCAATGATCTTATTTGAACATCATGTTAGGCCAGCGCATCCGCTAGTCCAAGTGAGTCCGTGTTCATTGATTTTTTTCATCTGCAATGCTCTTATTATCTACAATTTATTGCCTCAAATATGAAATACCATAAGATTTTCGTTCTCGCTACAGAGTTATCAGATGGACGCGGGATTGCCCATACCTTTAATGGACTACTTCGTATTCTTTTACTGGGTTCCCACTACCCAACCAAGAGACTGGGTCACATAGGTCCCGTTAGGCTCCCTGGCAGGGGACCCCGAGATCTAGGTCACCGATGGTTACAGACACCGAACGATATGGTTGAATGTCGCAAACAGTGGCGCTTATGCATCTATTCATTATTCTCTTAACACCAGTCTACATACATTCTCCATCTTCAGCCTTAGTTGGCTTTCAACATTCCAATCTCCATCCTCCTCTTATATCCAAAAGGGCGGCCAAAAGATAGCAACCAAGAATGGGGCACGAATGTGCATGGTTCGTGGTTGTAAAAACTGAAACTGATGTTTGTTTAGGTTGCGCCCGTTGGGTTTATCTCTTCCGCCAACGGAATCGTGATCCTGCGTCAACTTTATTCCGGGTTGTATACTACTTGAGCCAAATGCTAAGTATATAATCAATTGTTTAAGTCTAAATTAACTGGTTTTGTAATCAATCGGCAAGAGACAACAACTAATAATAAAACAAAGGCAATTAGTTTCCATTAACTGTTGGCTTTAACCGTCTCACAAAACGTTTATAATTGACTATTAGAACCAGTGTATTGATCGTTTATCTCTGTGGAGGAACCTTTATGCATGGTAGTCGATAATACGATCTGCAGTATTCATAGCATTGATTTTTGATTACTGATAATGCTGGGCGAAGATAAATTGAGGATGTTCTGCATTGAATGCTGTTCGCTTTGTCACTATCGTTGATATCTTATCCCTGTTTTGATCTCTTCCTGTTAAACCAACCTTAATGTAGCCACCTACCGTTATGCACTCACCGATTTTCAATCTCCTGCCCGTGCCACACAATCGTCCAATCCCGGTACCGGCTGTTCGAACTACATAAGCAACGAGCAAGCTGAACTGGAACAGGCCCAACGGGAATTGGACTATGAGGCAGCGCATTTGGAGCAGAGGCTTCGTTTGCAAATGGCGCGAGGCTCGGGAACAGCAGCGGAAGATGAACTACTGAAACGATGGTTTATTTTGGTCAGTCGGAAGAACACGCTCATTCGTCGCGGTATCCAGCTCTCAATCATGTAGGTTCAATGCACAATCACTCATCCCCCGGGTAGCATGGGCATAGCTTGGTTTTAATCATATCTCTCATCGTGGTTTGTCTGAATCATTGCTTTTCAATAAACGTACAGTTTGATGAATTAAAAATCCTCTCCGATGCACTTTATACCACTGTCCAACAAGATCACGGAAGAAATTTTTGGTTTCCCTTCTTCAATCGTCCTTTTCAGGATAGGATAAACAAGTGTCAGTCTTCTTCGTTTATTCTGATAAAAGCAGACCGTTTTTAATCAGAAAAAGTGAATGAGTACAGGAATGTCACAACGGTTAGCCCCATCTTTTGACGCGTAGGCTGGACGACTGTACTTACCTCGAACAGGATCTCTACTTTCCCTCTTGTTTCGTGTTTCATACCGGTGGTTTACATTTTCTGAACAATTTGATAACCGATCGCCAGTTGCTTTCTTTTAACCACTACTCACTTCAATAGTGCCCTTAGATGGAGGATGGAGATGTACCGAGTCCTGGTTAATTTGTATATGATAAAACATCCAGTTAGTGAGTTAGTCATTATAACTTCAAATCTGATCGTTCAGCTACATTATATTTACGGGGTTTCCTGATTTAAATTACCCCCCGCGGCGAATAAGGAGTGATATTGCTACATCAAGACAGCCGAGAATCAATAAATTGATTCTTGTTTCGTTATGACCCACACGATAATCCAAGATCCCAATCATCCAATACCCAGTGACCTATCACTTTCACTCATTCAACCACTAGCTCAGGATTCTGGCAAGTGTCCCATGGAACAATTATATACAAAACTTCCCCGCACTTTACCTGAATTGGGAAACTAAAAAAGGAAACTACTAGCCAACAATCGAATGGGTTAATCCAAGCTTGCTTCTC